TTAAATTAAAAGTAATTTATTTGCTTGCGGATCTGCTTCTCACAAAATTAATCAAACATATTCCTGTTATTCTCCGTGACTTCTTGACTTTGAGATAAAAATTCATTGTTTTCAAGCCATTTATTTATCTCTTACAGCGGTACTTTATCCATATCAACGTGTAAGACGCTTTTCCTTGCTGCTACTATTTATATTATTCGGGTACTTGTATAATTTCTTGATTTTATGATCTTATAGTTTAGATGATACAACATTAAATGCACTAATTTTATTCGATATTTAGAACATTTTTCTGTTGATTAGAGCACATCTCACAGAATTCGATTTTGTTATTTATGCAGATAATACGCACGTTCACAAATTTGAATTTTATTCATAGGAAAATGAATCCTGCTATTTAAAGTTCACTTTATAAGTTTCCACAGACTAGAAAATATTGAGTTGTTAGCACTACACGAAGTACACATGTGTTCACTCTGTACACAAGAACATTCTAATGTTTATAATAATCGGAGAGTTTTAACAAGTAAGGTATACTGTGCCTATGAAAATTGATTCATATGGTTTTTCTTATTACCTCGAACTTACTCCTGTCTACATGATCAAACTAAATATCCCAATTTCTTCTATGAACAAGTTTAAATTCTTATCTATTTTCGTAAAACTTGATAAAGACATATTTCAGTAATTATTTGTAGACACACAGTTTTTATATATTCGTGTTTTCTCTATTTTTTAGCACTATGAATCTAGTATAGATGTAGAAGCTTATAAAAATACATTAGCTGATTGGGATAGAATGGTCCAGGTAATAAATACAGGTGACAATTGGTCAAATGAAATCAGTATCTATGATCTTCTGAATTTTTAGCAACTTGAAGAATCGATCAATGAATTAACAATACGTTTACGTAATCCGATCACAATCACATCACCATCAACGAATAGTACAGATGAGATTAATAATTAAATATTATACAAAACTATAAATAAGAAAAATTTAGTTCATTTTTTTTCCAGAGGAGTCGACCTCTAATGAAAGAATTACGGAGCGAAATACAAATACATTTAGGAATCGTTGAAGTAAAATCGTGTAAAATGTGTTCTTTAAAGCTTAGCTTATCTTCTATTTTCTAGACATTGCGAGCAGAATGTATTGAATTAAAACGTTCGGAGAAAATTTAAAACTACAGGTTGAACAATTACTAGTCATGCTTGATGTACCTGTACCACGTGAACAATCTGGAGTAATTTGACATTTTTATTAATCATAACGTTAAATGTACCGGTATACATAATGTTCCTTCTAGTTCTCTTCACCATCAAAAACATCAACCATCTATTCTCAAATAGTCAAAACAACTTTATCTCAATCGCTAGTGAGTAATGGGCATCATATTTGCTAGAAATGACCATTTATCAATGAACCATATATTCATCGATATTCACAATCTAATGAGATCATATTTGCTCGTCATATATTAAAAAGTCCATAATGGCATGTTTGCTGAGGGAACGTTTAAAAATATATTTGGATCGGTCGGTCGCTATAGAGAGAGACATCAGCAGCAAACAACCTGCACGTGCAGACCATTGACCGTGGAAGATCATCGATGAACAACAAAAAGAGAAGTGGCCCTAGAATCGAACCTTGTGGTACACCACAACCGATACGCGCACTAGATGATGTGAAGCCTTCTACCATGGTGACAATATTCCTCTCATTCAAATAACTACGAAACCAACCAAGCAGCGATCCGCGAATACCTTTACTAGCTAGCTTCAGTAATAAACCTTCATGTGAGACCTTGTCGAACGCTTTACAGAAGTCGATGAAAGCCGCCAGAACTGGGTGCTTATTATTAAAAGCTGAAGCAATGTCATGAACCATCTGAACTAACTGAGTAATTGTGGAGTGAGATGGGAGAAAACCTTATTGATTCGGATTAATTTCACGTGCTTTAATAAGAAATGTAAACACTCGCTTGAAAATGACGCGTTCGAATATTTTGGAAACAGCTGAAAGGAGGGTTATCGGTCGATAGTTTGTGGGGTGATGAACATCACCTTGCTTAAATATAGCGGTAACAAAACCCAACTTCCACTGTGAGGGAAATGTCTCCATTGACAATGAGTGATTGAATAGCCGTGTTAGAACAGGTGCTAATTCGAAGGCACCCTCCTTCAACATCCGCCCACTGATCCCAGGAGCAACAGCTTTCATTGCATTTATTTTCTTCAACGCATAATATACCTCATTGACATCGATAGTAAAAGTGGGCATAATTTGCTTAGGAGTGGGCAATGTTGGAAAAATATGCCCTTGAGTATTTAAAGGCGTGCATACTTCAGCAAAATAACGCTTTAAAACTTCACCTTTTTCGCATGGATGACTGACCATACTATTTGTTCGCGCATCATGTAATGACGCAATTGAGATCTGTTTATGTTTTCCCAAAGCATGTTTCACTATTGTCCACCACTTTTTTGATGAGTTATTCACATCGATTTGTGATCGTGAATAGTATGCCTGTTTTGCTTGGATACATTCTTTCTCGAACAAAGACGCTGCAGTCAAGTATAACTGCTGATCGGTTGCGGCTTGACTTTTAGCATATTTCTGATACAGTTTCTGTTTGTTTGCATTGACTTTTCGTACACGGTGAAAAAATAACCGTCAAAAAAACCGTAAAAACCATAACCATCGAAAGAAAACCGTATAGAAGAACCATGAAGTAAAAAACTACAGTATGAAAACCATAAAATGCAAAAGTATAAAACAAAAACTATGGAAGTAAAACCGTAAAGGTTAAAACCATAGAAACAAAACCATCCACTTTCGAACCATC